GGAGGCAAGTTGTTTCTCATCCAGAAAACAAGAAACAGCTGGATCGGTTTGTCTCCGAGTATGAGCCCCGACTGTCTTCCTCCAGGGCACCTCTCCTTTGTTCAGTCTCAGAGATGCAGGAGCAGTTCAGAGTGACCATGTGATGGCCTCCGTTTCCATTTTACAAAACCTTCTTTGGGGTCTGAGCATCCGGCTACTCTGCCACATCAGTCCCCAGTTGAGGGCCTCTAAAGCCGGTCTTCTCCCTTCCTTCCCCAGGACATCCTCGGCTGCGTCTGCGTGAATCCCGGGCGCCTCACCAAAGGGCAGGTGGGCGGCACCTTTGGCCGCCTGTACCTCAGGAGGCTGCTGGTGGCCGGAGAGATGAGGCAGAGCCCATGTATTGCTGCCCAGGTGGTCAGGATCTGAGTCTTCGGGCCTCGCCACCCTCCTTGTGCAGCACCCAGGGGAGCAGCGGGCTCTGAGGACCTGGGTGTGGTGGGGCCCTGGCTCTGGGTCAGGCTTCCCTGGAAGGAAGCTCTCACCCCGGAATGGACACCAGTGTCCGAGGGGAGCCAGCTGGAAACAGTGCTCTGGAAGGGCGGGAAGGCTTTGGGATTTTTCTACGTGAATCAAACCCACAAACAACTTTTGGAGAAATAAAAATAAATTGTGAATGTAACTTCTGCGTTTAATCTTTCTTCCACTTTCTTTTTCCTGGTAGTAGCCAAAGAATGTTGCCTATTTGACCCGTGTCCGGGGAAGGCAGAGTGCTGGTCACACTGGGTTTCTGCCAGCTCCTTGGGACTCTGGCCCCACCCTCATCCTCCCCAGGCCCCCTTGGCTGCCGAGCTGAGGAGGGGCACTGGGCTTGGCCCTGGAGCTGGGCTGCGGAGCCAGCGCTGGCAGCGGGCCCAGCCCTCCCCACATGGACGTGCTGGGGTCCCATCCTGACCTCTCTAGCTGCAGGAGGCGGCTTCCCTGAGCCAAAAGCCCAAGTCCCTTGTGGTAGCCACTCGACCCAGTCCCAAAGGGGCGTGGGGCTTGCCTGTAACCCAGAGCCCTCGGGCCAGGGCAGGCCTTCCGGGTCCCCACACGTCCCCTGCCCACATGTCCTTACTCTGGGGAAAGGCTGCCTGCCACGGGTTAAGTCCACCTGAGCGGGAAGCTGTCCTGCTCCGCCTGCCAGAGCCAAGTCCGGAAAACCCCTGGCGGGCGGGCCGGGGGTGTGTGAGGGAGCAGCGGCTGCCGGTCCCCTGACTCAGAGGTAATCGGTGACTTAACAGTGGCCAGCCTTGCCCCCGCCTCCCCTGAAGGAGACGGGAATCTGGAGGCAGATGGGCTGGGCCTGGGCAGTACGGCTCTCTTTCAGCACGAAGAGCTGCTGCTTCGTTTCACTAGTCTTTTAGCCACCTTGGTTTTAGAGATAGGCCCCAAATTGGGGAGCTGAGTCCCCCCCCAGCTCCCCACACAGGAGCACCCCGTGGCCTTGGAGGAGGCGAGGCCCCTCCCCCCACAGCCTGACTCAGTTACCCCAGTTCAAGAGCCTTTGGGTTTCTACCAAGCCAAATACCAGGGAGAAACCGGCCCTCCCCGCCTGGGGAAACCAGGCCTGGGAAGATTAACCGGGAGCCTCTGGCCATGATAAAGGAGGGTGGGCCCTTATCACCAGAGGCCACAGCACTTGGCAATTGTCCTGTTGATCCTGAAGAAGCCTCTGGGGAATGGTAACATCTCGCACCCCCAACTTCTTCCAGACTCAGGGGGAGTCAGGCTGGGTAGGATTGGGGCGCTGGCAGAGAGGGAGGCCAGGGCAGGGAGGGGCCAGAGGCCACGGAGAGAGAAAGCTGGAACTCCCTGTCGCAGGCATGAATGAGAGCTGGGAGCCGTTGCCTGGAGACAGGTCGCGTGGCTGTTGGAGGGAGGGCCGAGCAGGCAAGTAAGATTCTACAGAAAGAAGGCAGGACGTGGCCCAGAAGCCGGCAGGCCCCGCAGATGCGTCTCTCCGGCCTCTCTGCTACCAGACAGTTCCTTTTTGCTCATCAGGAAGTCAGTGCCAGGCGTCTGCCAGCTGACTGTCCCTAGACCCCAGCTGTGCCCAGTTTCTTGCAGCATCTGTCATCCCCAGGGCTCATGCCATCCTGTGGTGGGGCACACGATCTTGGAACAGAGGCTCTGGGAGGGAGGCATTGGTGGTGGAGGGTGGAGGCTGACTGGGTCCCCTGCGCCTCCACCCCTCCTTGGTGGCAGCTCCCCGTGTCTGCTCATGCCCCAGGCCCTTGGCACACGAGCCCAGGACAAGGTAGATAGCTCTGAAGAGCAATGTCTGGCATTCCACCCGGGGTCTCCTCCTCGCTCCCACAGGGAGCCTGGGCGGCCCTCAGGAGTCAGGCCCCGGCTCTGGCAAGGAACTAAAGGCCCCCCCAGCTCCTGTGTGTGGGAACTGGGCGCCAGGAACAAGGCTGGAGAATTCACCCGAGGGGCGCTCTGGGTGGGTGGGCCAGCCAGGCCGGGACGCGGTCCTCGGACCTCTCCATCCTGCCCAGCCTTCTGCGCCACTCAGCCTGCTGTTGTCTTTCTCTTGACCTAAGGGTCACCAGCCCTGCTCAGCTGCCTCTGGTGCTGGAGTGGCTATTTGGGCTGATTCCTTACTTCTTTGTTTCCTCTGCCTGACCCTTGGCCTGGTTCACAACGGAGCCACCTGACAGCCAGTCCTGCCTGTGCACATGTGGCCTCCTTCTCAACCGGAGCCTCAAACTTGGCACAAAACTTGACTGACTGCGGGGGAGGGAGGTTTGATAGTTAAAGGTATTTTATTGAGGTACAACAAGAACCGTACACTTCCGTGATTTTTCACTTTATCCACAATGTTGTGCAAATATCTCTACTACATTCTTCAAGAATGTTTTTCTCACTCCAAGAAGAAACCCATACCCAATAGCAGTCACTCCTCACTCCCCTTGCCCCAGGCCCTGGCAACTACTAATCTACTTTCTTTAACGATTCACCTACTCCAGGCATTTAATCTAAATGGAATCACTCAAACAGGGTCCTTTCTGATTTCTTTCATTTAGCATATTTTCAAGGTCCATTCTTGAAGTAACATGTGATAGTACTTTTTTTCATTTTTCAGGGCTGTATGATACTTTACTGTTGGCCAAACTGTATTTCATTCACTCTTTCATTCATCCATGGACAGACCCTGAGGTTGTTTCCACTTGCTGGCTGTTGTGAATATCAGACACCTCTGTATATGTTTTTGTGTGAACACCTGTTTTCCGTTCTCTTGGGTATGTTCCAAGGAAATGGAGTGTGAGAGTGCTGTAGATTTATAGAGGACAAGAAGAGGGATAGGAGTGAATGAAGGAGGGGGAAAAAGAAGAGACAGAAGAGAAGCAAAGGGCCTGAAACATTTTTTTTTTTGAGCTGAACAATAGTGTCTAGAAGGCATGGCAAGGGAGTTTGGACTGGATTCTGCCATCCCAGGGGTCTCCTGAGACTTCTGAGGACTGAGGTGGATAATATACAACCTGCACCAGAAAACTGGCAGTGCTCCCCCGCTATGGAGCTGGGGGAGCCTAGAGACCATTTTATGAACTATCGGAAGACAGTCACCCAGCAGCCACTCTCCATTCCTACGGTAGCAGCACCCCAGATTTCCTGCAGGGTGACCACCTTTCCTCCACACTCTTCCTTTGCCTAACCCTAACACTGCATTGCATCTCCTGGCTTCAGTGACTGGTCAGGGATGGGTGGGAACTAAGGTGTTCCCAAGGTGAGCCTTCTTCTAGGGCTGATGGAGAAGACACGGCTGCAAGGGCAGAGCTGCTGCAGCCCCACACCACCACGAGGAGAAACACAGGACATCTGGGTGCCAGGAGTGAACAGCGGGGTCAGCACCGGCTTCTGGTGTCTGAACTGCACGGAAGCTCGTCTCCATCCCAACCGTGAACCACAAATGCCCCTCACCCTTTCTTTTTTCTTCTTTCTCTTTTTTTTTTTCCCACTTAACCTAGTTTGAATTTTCTGTCACTTGCAACCAATAGGATGAGGGCCTGAACTAGGGGAGGAGGACTGCGAGGACTGTCAAGAAACAGACAGATAAAAAGCAGCTCAGATCAGAAGGAGGGCAGCAACCACGTCCTGACACGTGACATCCACATAGCCCTCCCACCCAACCTGCCAGAGGCTGCGAGTCACTGCCTCAGGAAGCCACGGGCTGGATTCAAACTCCAAACCCTCTGTCTTCCCACCCTGCCATGCTGGTGAACATGGGCACCCAACAAGGACGGACTTAGAGGGGTCCCAGGTACCAGCCCCAGCGCCAGGAGCACATGCAGGAGGGAGGTGAGGCAGACACGCTGCGGGAGGCGCCTGGTCTGTTGGGAGGATGGATAAAGGGCAGCACCCAAGAGGGCCGCTGGAGCCGGGAGCCGCCCTGGAGAGACGCAGGCATGGAGAGGGCACCGGGGCTCCCAGAGATCCAGAGCTGCAGAAGGAGGAGTTGGGAGCTGGTGCAGGGGCGATGGGCCAGACACTGCTGTGGAGGGGACCTTGGACGACACTTTTCCTTAACGACAGGGCAAAGGGCGGGACTGGCTTGGGAGAGGAGAAGGGTGACAAGATTCTAGTGGGCAGACAAGAGGATGCTCCTGGACATCCATCTATGGTGGGCTCAGCTGACTGTGTTTCAGGAATTTGGGCCTCTCTGTCACCCACCCCCGTCACTCTGTGTTCTCTGTTCCTGAGTAGCCAGGGCTATGGCTGCTCCCTCTAGGTGTGCCCTGGAAATGCCCAGGGGCCTAGGCTGGGCCACCCTCAGTCCAGGGTGGACCAACTACCAGCTCTACATCCCCTTGCCCAGACCCCTTCCCCTCCTTCTCCTCTTCCTGATCCTCCTCCTCCTCCTCCTCCTCTTCCTCTTCCTCCTCCTCCTCCTCTTTCTCTTCCTCCTCCTCCTCTTCCTCCTCCTCCTGGGCTGCAGGCTACTCCCCACCCACCCAGAGCCCTCCTGACAGCTGAGGACCTGCAGCTGCCTAGACCCGGGGCCTCTTAAAGGTCTCAGGGACAGCTGCTGCCCTCTGACCCTGCTGACCCTGCTCCCTGGCAACCCGGGCGCCTGTCCATGGCCTGCGGGTTCTCCTCTGCCTGCTCTTATCATTGCCACATCCTCCTGGGGTCTGAAGCATTTCATGCTGAGAAAGACAACCAAGCCTCGGAGGCTGAGTCAACAGCCTCACTGGGAGGAGTAGGGAGGGAGAGGCCAGCGGGCAGGGGCAGCCCCCAGCCCCTCAGAGGAAGCAGCTTCCCCCAGCAGGAGTGGGAGACACTGGGTGAGGGTCTTCGTCCTGTCCCCTCCATCAGCGCTGAGCCCTGCTCACCTGCTCTCCCAGCACAGAGCGGGGCACGTGGGGAGACCCAGCGTTGCTCCCGATTCCTGGAAGGCTCTTCACAAGGCCCTGTCCACTCAAGGACTCCAAGGCCCTTTGAGTAGCCAGCTCCCTAGGACACTTCTGGCAGCAGAAGAGGCCTCTGGGAAGGGGTGCAGAGGCTCAGGCTTTGGGGTGGGGGAGTTCGGGAAGGATTTGTCGCATTCACCCTTTTTTTTTGATACCAGGGATTGAGCCCAGGGGCACTTAACCACCAACCCACATTCCCAGCCCTTTTTATATTTTGTCTTGAAACAGGGTCTCACTAAGTTGCTTAGGACTTTGCTAAATTGCTGAGGCTGGCTTTGAACTTGTGATCCTCCGGCCTCAGCCTCCTGAGCTGCTGGGATTACAGGCCTGCACAGCGGTACAGGGCCCCCCTTACATCTTGCTAGAAGTCTCTCAGGCATGTGTGGAACAGCACTGACAGCATGACTTGCTGCACCCCCCGCCCCCAGACGTGCCTCTGTGACTCACAGGCTACTCCTGAGCTGGAAAACCATATAGCTGTAAAAATGTGATCTGGAGAACACACTCCTCATCCTGGTGCAGAGGCACTAGTTCCGTTTCTGTTGCTCTTCATACAATACCATAGACTGGGAAGCAATAAAGAAAAGAGGGTTTGTTTTTGTACCAGGAATTGATCTTGGAGGTGCTTTACCAGTGAGCCACATCCGGCTGGGATTACAGGTGTCCACCTCCATGTCCTCAGAAAAGAGGTTTAATTTGGCTCACAGGACCAGATGTCCAAGGTGGAAGGGCCACATGTTGGTGATGGCCTTTTGCTGGCAGAGTCTCCATGCTGCATGGGGTATGAAATGACAAGAGACAGGGAGTGTGTGCAGTGGGGGAGGTGGCACTGGGGATTGAACCAGGGGATCTCTACCCTGAGCCACATCCCCAACCCCTCTTTATATTTTTATGTTGAGAAACAGTCTTGCAAAGTTGCCCAGGCTAGCCTCGAACTTGGGAATCCTCATGCCTCAGCCTCCCAAGTAGCTGGGAGTAGCACCCTTGAGCCTGGATCACTCTCTTTTTAATAAAGCCACCAGAATCCAATCATGGGGAAGGGCCCACCCCATGACTTTAATCCTAATCACCCCACAAAGACTTATCTCCATTCATGGTCAGATTATATTTCTACTCTCTCAATGCCTCACAATGGGGACCTATTTGTTTATTTATTTACTTACTTATTTATTTTGGGTACTAGGGATTGAACCTGCTTAACCACCGAGCCACAACCCCAGCCCTTTTTTGCATTCTATTTAGAAATAGGATCTTGCTGAGTTGCTTAGGGCCTCGCTAAGTTGCTGACGCTGGTTTTGAACTCTCGATCCTCCTGCTTGGGCCTCCTGAGCTGATGGGATTATTGTGCACCACCACACTGGCTCACAAGGGGGATTAAACTTCAACTGAGTTTGCTGAGGAAACAAAGCATATTCAAACCAAAATATAATGTTAACTGAGAAAAAAAAAAAAAAGCAAAGTGAAGACCAGTATGGATAGTGGAGGCCCCCAACAAGGGGTTCAGCCCTCCCCTGGCTCCCATGAGGGCCTACAGGACTTTGGGGCTGTACTTGTCTATATATTGGCTATTTGTGTCAAAAAGATGGGCGAGGCTTTGGTTGAACTTAAAGAACAACTCTAGCAGGGGTACAAGAAACTGGTCACATCCATTGTCTCCGGGAGGGGAAGTGGGTGACAGAGGTAAGACTTTGCCTCTTGAATTTTCTGAATTTTGAACCACATGAAATCATGTCCTTATCCAAAAAGTAATTCAAGTGAAAAAACTGCTAGTCGTATCAGGCCACAGGCCCTCGATATGCTTCCCGAGGCAGTCAGAAATTCTCAGGAGCTATCACCTCCCTTCAGTTATTCTGTAGTAGGATTTTACCTCTCAGTGGCCAGTAACAGAAACCAACCCCAACTAAGTTAAGCAGAACTGGAATTTGTTGGTTTATGCAATGGAAACTGTTTCAGGCATGACCGGATCTAGGAGCTCACGAGCAACATCATTGAGATTCAGTCTCTGGCTCTGCTTGGCTCTGTTTGTTCTCAAGCAGGCTCTTCCCTCAGGGTGGTAAAAATGACCAGCAGCCTTTGGGGGCTGGCATCTTGGCATTCGTAACCCTGACTCCCAGCAAGTCCCCAGACTGATGCCCATTGGTGTTACACGCCCATCCCTGAGCCTAGGAATGGCCCAGCGTGGCCAAGCACAAGCTTCAAACCCACTTTTAGAGCTCGGGGTAGGCACCATGTTTCTGGAGACTCTGCAAGACTGTATTTTGGACAACGCCAGAATAAAGGGACAGATGCCGGGCAGGGAAGACAGTGCTCACCCTCTCCCCGCCTGGACTGACCCCCAGGACAGGCCTGCTGGACATCTCTTGCCTCCTGATCACCCAGTGCCTCTGCCTTCACCAGGACTATTCCTGCTCCGCCTGCAGTGGACACCGATGGCAGCTCCAGTGTCCTTCCCTTTCTCGGCCCAGCAAACTCCCTTTCACCTGTCCACCCTGCTCACTTGTCACCTTCTCCTCGAGGCCCTTCTGACTGTCCCTTCTGCTTCCATCCCTTGGCAGGACAAATTCTTCTATGGCTGTTCTCTTGGGTTCTCCACCTGAGCCAAGGTGATTCAGAGCTGCCTCTACCACAGGCCCTGGCCACGGCACACCTCCTGCTGTCTTGGAGTTGGTTATTTGTTTCCTGAGGGGTTAGCTGTTCTCTGAGGGCTGGGCCCAGCTTGGCCACCTATGTCTTCTCTGCTCCAGCTCAGCCCTGGGCAAGGAGAAGATGGGTTTTGAGATTAATGACATGGTGTCCCTGAAGGCGTGGGAAGCACTGAAGACAGCCTCTGCTGACTCCACAACTGTTCCCTACGCCCAGTGACAGCCGTGGGGCTGACGTTCCCAAAGGCTCTGGGAGGAAGTGCCTGGGCCTGTCCCTGCTAGGACAGGGCTGTCACCGTTCTGGAAACCCCCATGTCACTGGGCCAGAAGCCAAACTTCAGGCATAAAGAAAAGTTCCTCCGGCAAGGCCCTGCCACCATGCAACTCCCAAAGAGCGGCCCAAGGCCCAGGGAGTGGGCTGGGGTAAGGCAGAGTGCCCAGTCATCTCCAGTCCCAGCCTCTGCTGGGTCCAGTTCTCTGAGGGGGGTGAAGAGCAGGAGGGAAGAGCTGCGATTGGCAGGCATCCTGTGGGGGAAGGAAATGAGAAACAATCAAGGCAAACTCCAGCGCAGAGCTGGGGGCTCAGGACATGGGCCCTGCAGGCTGCACTCAGCTGGGATGTTGGGGGCACCCATAGGTAGGTGGAGCTCCCTTCCAGCTCTTGGCTGACCTATGGCCTGCTCAAGGAGCTAGGCATCTCCTGAGGCTTCCTTTCTTCTCAGCACCTCCCCTAGATACCGTCCAAGAGGACTCCACCCTTCCCTTGAGAGTCTCTGCTGCCAGGTCTCCCTCAGGGTCCTGGGTCCCCAGGTGATGGAGCCTGAGGAGAGAGGACTTCCGCTCTGGTCTCTTCATGCTGGCCACCCTTGGGGGAGGGGAGTCTGATTCTGGCCCAAGGGCCCTTAGCGAGTTCCAGGAAGAAGGAGCCAGGAAGGAAGGGTTGAATCAGTCCCCTGTGTGTGTGTGGGGGGGGGGGGTGATAGTGGGGGAGGGGCTGTGGGGCTGCCGGGACTGTCCCAGGGTATGGGAGGCTCCAGGCAAGGGAAAAGGAAGTTGCATTTGCCATTCCAGTGTCTCTCTACCATGGACTGCCTTGCCCCTCCCAAGTGCCCTCTTGGCCACCAGAGTGTCCAGAAGCTCCTCCGGCAGGACAATCCAGGCCCCAACTGAGTCCTCAGACCCAGGCAAAGGGTCCAGGCTTGGGTTGGCACTTGCCTCTGTGTCTTCTGGGTCAGAAATGCTGGACACACACACACACACACGTCCCTACACATACCTGAGAAGCTGTGTGGAAAAGCCAGTTTTAGTAACTGGAGTCCCATTTTAGAAATGCTTAATTGCAGGTCCCTGCAGCGATGCTGGGTGTATACACAAAGATCTCATCCATTCAGCAGAACCTCCTCAGGGACTCTGGGGTCCCCAGCCAAGGGACAGCCTCATCTGTGAATAGGAAGAGGAAGTGTCCTGCTCTCTTCTTGTAAAGGGCAGAACCCAGGGTCGGGTGTTGGCAGGAGTAGTCCAAGCAGCAAGGGGTACCAGCGCCACACAGAAGCTTCTCCCACAGGGGCGTGGGGGGGCTGAAAACAGTTCCCAGAGTGCAGATGGCAGCTCCAGTCCTGGCTTGGAGCCCTGGCCTGGTAGCCAGGCCGGAGGAGGAGAGCAGGGGCTTGAGCCAGGCTCAGGGGCTCTGTGGCTATGGACTTCTCCCCCAGGACCCCCAAACCCACCCTCCTCAAAACCTTTGCAAAGAGCTCTAGGTTGGTTCCTGACTATTGGTGGCTCTGACCAAGAGCTGGAGCCTTCTCCAATCCTCCATCCCTGGAATTGTCTGTGTCAACACCTGCTCTGAATGCAGCTCCTGACCATCCCCACCCCCCAGCCCCGATGGAGGACTTTTGGGGGCACCATGCAGGGGTGGGGGCTTTGGCTCAGCTGGACCCCTACAGGTTCAGGTGGCTTTAATCATTAGAGTTGCCTGGTCAGTCGGCAAGGACAGCTGCCCGCAAAAGCTATTGTAACGTTTCACAAAACTTCGCCGCCTGCGGGCCTATGTATTCCCATTAATAAAGCTCATGTGATCCCCTGTGTGGGACACATGTGGCCTGATGCTCTTCCCCTGTTTCACAAGCAAGGACACTCAGAAAGCGAAAGTTCTTTACTGGAGACCTCAGAGCAAGTCATCAGCACAGCTAGCTCAGAACCTGGTTGGTGGCTCAAAGGCCAGAGCTCAGTGTACTGAGCCACCCCCTCCTCTTCCAGGATCCACTGGGAGGGCAGAGACAACAATTCTGAGAAGCCTGAGGGAAGGGGTTCAGGACCCTCATGTTCTGCCCCTTTCAGGCCAAGCAAATCATTGTAGTAATCTCAAAAGAGTTTCTCTTTTTGAAATATTTTTAGTGGTGGGGATTGAACTCAGAGGCGCTTAATCACTAAGCCACATCCCCAGCCCCTTTTACATTTTATGTAGAGATAGGAGCTCACTGAGTTGCCTAGGGCCTCGATAAGCTGCTGAGGTGGGCTTGAACTTGTGATTCTCCTGTCTCAGTCTTCTGCCAAACCTCAGTTTCTCTTTTACAAGGGGATAATCATTCAAGCTCTGATCACTCACCAGGCAGGATTCAGGGACAAAAGGCAATCGGTAAGGGCATTGGTGGGCCTGAGGGGAGAAGTGCCTGGCAACACCCAGGTGGCAAAAAGGGGGAAAGGCACAGCCTTTACCACACACAGCCTCTTAGTCCATACTCTGCTGCTATAACACAATACCACAGGCCAGGTAGCTTATAAATAAATAGAGATTTATTTGGCTCATGGTTCCGGAGTCTGGAATGTCCAAAAGCATAACGAGGGCCTTCAAACTATGTCATCCCATGATGGAAAGAAGAAACACAAGAAAGGGAAAGGGAGACAGATTGAACTTGCAGCCCCAAGCCCTTTTATAATGAGCACTGATCCACTCAAAGGGATGAAATCCACATGACACAAACACCTCTCAACAATGCTTTAAGTTTCCAAAACACTCTTTTGTGGGGGGTACACATTCAAACCACAGCACCCACCTATGCCACAACTGGACCTTGGGTCATCCTTCCCTCTTCCTGAACTTTTCAGCCTGTTTCCTCCAAGCCACCAGGCTAGTCGTGGCAGAACGCCCCTCACCCATCCTCCCTGGGGAGCTGAGGGAGGAGCTGAGCAGGCTCAAGATTAAAACCTGAAACTTCCTGTATTCATATTCCACTTCTGCTGGAACAAATTAACACAAACGTGGAAGCTTAAAACAGCATGAATTCATTATCTTACATTCTGTGGGTCAGAAGTTCAACGCAGGTTGCACTGGGTTAAGATCAGTGTCAGCAGAGCCATGTTCCTTCTGGGGGTTCTCGGAGGGAATCTATTTCCTTACACAAATTCCTTGGCTTCTGGCCTCTTCCTCCATCTTCAAAGACAGCTGCAAGGCATCCTCTGGCCCTTTTTCTAGAACAACGTCTCTTTCTTTGACTCTTCCCTTCTGTCTCCTCTTCTATTTTTAAGGGTCCCCGTTATTACACTGGGCCCACCCAGATAATTCAGGATGACCTATCTTAAAGTCAACTGAGCTGGCCATGGTGACACATGCCTGTCGTCCTAGCTACCCTGGAGGCTGAAGTAGGGAGATCACTTGAGCCCAGAAGTTCAAGACCAACCTGGATAACAGAGTGAGACCCTATCTCAAATATTAATAGCATAAAGCCAACTGATTTAGCAACTGTAATTTCCTCTTTCGATGTAATAAAACATTCACAAATTCCAAAGATATAGAAAATGGACACCTCAGGGGGAGCATTCTTCTGCCTACCAGGACCCCCCTACCACTAACATCCTTCCTCCTCACCCCGCCTCACTAAGGGCCCTTCCCACATTCACAACATGGAGCCAACCCTCCTGGACCCACTATACCTTCTGGGCTGACACTCCGCAGAAAATGAAGATCTCCTCACCAGATCACTATCCCCCTCTTCATTTGCCTGAATCTTAGCACTGACCCACGTGGAAGGATATCACTTTGTGCTTGGGACCTTGATTTCTTGACTTTCCCTTTACTGTGCTGTAGGTTCCAACCCAGGGGGTGCTGAATTCCCAGAGCTTAATCCATAGCAGATGCTCAACATATATCTGTTGAATCACTGAATGGAACAAGGACAGAGTTTCCCTCAGTTATCTCCAGACCCTGTGAAGTCCTGCCCGTCAATAATTGTATGAGTCCATGAAGTGAGTCAGAGCCCCACCTCCTCTCTGGAAGTCACCTAGCTGGTCAGCAAATACAGGTGTGCCCAGACCACACACTGCGGTCTCTCTCTTTCTCTCTCTCTCTCAGTCTCTCTTTCTGTCTCTCCTCTGGCTCTTCTAGGAGAGCTTATAAGCTCTTCAAAATGCTCATGAGTTTGTAAGATTTTAACGTGGACACTTCCAATGCCCCATTCATTCGCGTAGTAGGGCCTCCCCGAACACAGCCCTTAATAGGTCCAGTGATGCCCAGTGAATACGAAGAATTGGGTCTTCTAGCAGCCGCTTCCCCGGGCCTTCTAGAACCAAGGGTTTGGCTCCAGAGGGCACAGTCTTGAGTCCAGGGAGTCCACCCCCGGTATCGGACAGAGCCGGCCAGCAACAACGGAAGCAGGACCGCGCCCTTGGGAGCGTGAGGCCTCCGTACCCCAACCAAGCGCCTCTGCACTAGGGGAGCCCTGGGCGGTGCCCGGGCGGGGCGGGGCTGTGGGCGTGGTCCTACTGGGGCGGCATCGTCATTGGATCTGCAGGACGGGGGCGGGGCTTTAGGGCCACTGTCCGCACAGTAAGTTCACAGCCCGGGTCGGGTCCCACAGCCTCGCGGTCCAGCTCCGAGCTTTCGCTTCCCGCGGGTCCGCTGACAGCGCTCCTGATGGTGAGTTCGGGCCAGGGTTTCTGCAGCTCTCCCGCGGCTCCGCGGGGTCCCCTGAGAGGCCCATTCCAGAGGCTCCGGGTCCCCGATCGCGCCCGGGTCCCGGCTTCACCACCGCTCAGGTTCTCGGGCTCGGTGGGCTTTTCCTCCTGCGCCTCGATCCCCGCAGCCCCACCCGTGACCCGCACGGCCCGTGGGGCGCCGCACTTCCACCTTAAAATCTCCAGTCCTCCTTCCAATCTGCCGGAACCTCGGTCCTAGCCCCGGGCACCCAGAAGCGTCCTCCGGCCACCCAGTGTCCCCGCCTGGGCTCGGGCCGTATTTTTAGCCGATGGTGAGATGTTCTCCTATCTTTAGCCGCGGCTGCAGTGTCCTGAAACGGATCCCGGCTGGGCTGAGCTGCCCTCGGACTGGGGACGGGGAGGGGACGGCGCCGGAATTCGAGCCCGGGCAGAGGAACCCGACCCGCGGGAGGGGCGGGGGCTTGTTCGCCGGAGCTCTGGCCTGGCGCCGAGCGGACACTCGGACATCGCCCAGGCCGGGAAGCACCAGGGAGGCCCCTCCCAGAGCTTGGAGACAGGGACAGGGTCCCCCATCGCCCCTTTCCCCCATTCATTGTCTGTATGTGCGACCAGTAACTCCCAAGAGAAAACGATCCCACAGACAATCCTCATCTGATACTCGAACGCGCAGCTCCTCGGGGACTCCTGCCTGGACCCGGAGGCGCGCTGGAGACCCGGTTGCGCCCTGGGACTCCTCCAGGACGCTGGACGTTAGCGGGAGCGCGCGCGCCACCTAGTGGCTGCAGAGCCGGGCGCGTTCCTCACCCAGACACTGGGAGACGTAGCCGCCGGTTAACCTGCGCTTGCCGCTCGCCAACTCTGGGTTGGCCAGGAGCAGTTTGTTCTTGATCTTGTTCAAGGCAGTATCCCGGAGACCCATAGTGCTTGAGGAAGGCATTGCAGATAGTTTCTGAATATCCATTTGACAGGACTGACAGTGACCCCTGCGCCCTCACTTGCGGGACAGCAGTGAGGCCTCCAGCAGCCGTCAGCCCATTTTCTGAATGAGGAGGGTGAGACCCAGAGAGGAGGGGTATCTTGCCCAAGATCACCCACTCCCGGATAGAACTGGGTTTAAAGCCAGTCTTCTAGTTTGAAGGTCAGGGGCCTCCTTCTTGAATATTCCTAGTGGGGAGTGGTCTGATATTCCTCAGGACAGGAGAGACCCGACCTCCAGGAAGTCATTTACTCTGAGGGAGGTCCAAGGCAAGGCCAGAGAGCTGGGATGGCTCTCATCTGCTCCTCCTACTGCGGCCTGGCGCCATTCCACCAGCCTCCCAGGGACAGTCTCATTCTCATCTCTGCACACTTGCAAGTTGAGGGGAGTGGGGAGCCAAAGGGCATGACTAGTTGGAAGGGACCTGGTGATTTCCCTCCTACTCCCCAGATACATCCCACTTGTGGCAGCCCACCACATTTGAGCCACATGGATCAATGCCAGCTCTTGCTATTTGGTTGGCCTTGGAAAGTTTCTTAACATCGCTGGGATTCAGCTCCCACTTCTGTACAGGGCAATAAGGACACTCACTGTGATGTGACTGGGAACATTAATATGGGAAGCTTCATGGTTGCCAAATCTAAATACTTGAGGCTTGCTGGTTGTAATTTCCAGCTCTCCCCAGGGTGGTTGATGTGGCCCCACCCTTCCCCTTAGCCTCTGGTCTCTCCACATCTGGAATTGGGTGGGTACATCTGGCTCTGAGTGAGACAGCTGTCAGGGACGCCCACTTTGCTGTGGAAACATTCAAGCTGGCCTGGTGCTCTAGTGTGATTTAGGGATGGAGGGAGGACCTGGCTCAGGCTCTGGGCAAATCCCATAGGTGAGCCCCACTCTCCATCAGTGGAAAGGAAGGAAAAGCTCTCCCAGGCTCTCTCCTGAAAAGGGGGTGGATTGGATATTTGTCAGCATGTCCTTGGGTCTGGTGTGGTAGACAGAGGATAAATGGGTTTCCAAGACCCTGGGAGGCCCACCGCCTCCCCTCCCGGCAGCTCCTTCCAAGCTTAGCTGGAATGCTACCACTGGAGAGTCATTCCTTTGTTTCCTGTGCAGCTGCAGGTGCTCTGGGAGGAGCAAGATGTCCAGAGTCCATGGTTCAGCCTGACTGACCTGGGGTGTCCGGTCTTGGGGTGGGGTTTCCTGATCCAAGGCCCACATTGGGGGGAAGGACTGGGTCCTGCTCCTGCATCCTCCTTTCTCCTTCCTGCCTCCTCCTGCCCAGGATGAAGGATGAGGCAGGGGAACTGGCAGATGCCTCCTTTGCTTACCCCTGGCTGACCTATGGGGTGGGGAGCAGTGGGAGAGGGCAGGCTCATCTGGCTTGAATCCTGGCCCTGACCTTATCTGCTGGATGACCCAAACAAATTTTTTTCTTTGCCTCTTTATGCTGATTGCACATCTGGGCTCCTGCATGTCTGTACTGTGCCAACCAGGCCCTCCATGCATCACCCCCAGGAAGCAGAGGACATACTTGCTCCATTTCCTTTTTTTGTTAAACCAGTATGACACCCTTTCATAGTGTATTTATTTTTTCCCACATTAAAAATAGCTTTAGGGGCTGGGGTTGTGGCTCAGTGGTGGAGTGCTCGCCTAGCATGTACGAGGCCATGGGTTCGATTCTCAGCAGCATATAAAAATAAGTAAACAAAAATAAAGGTATTGTGTCCAACTACAAGATATATATATATATATATATATATATATATATATATATATATATGAATAGCTTTTTTTCCTGACTACATAAACAATATATGCATATAAATAATACATGCTCATTATTTAAAAAAAATTTTTTTAGTTATTGACAGACTTTTATTTTATTTATTTTTATGTGGTGCTCAGAATCGAACACAGTACCTCATACATGCTGGGCAAGTGCGCTTCCACTGAGCTCCAGCCCCAGCCCCAATATGCTTATTAGTAAGAACTTGATGACCAGGCCTGATGGCCAGGCCCAGGCTTATATCCCCACGACTTGGAAGTCTGGGGCAGGAGGATCGCTAGTTCAAAGCCAGCGTGGGAAATTTAAACAGACCCTGTCTCAAAATTTAAAAAATAAAAATTAAAAGGGCTAAGTGGCTAAGTGCTCTTGGGTTCAGTCTCCAGTCCGCCCCCCCCCCAAAAATAAAATTAAAAAGTTGATGGCTGAGGTGTAGCTCAGTGGTAGCACACTTACTTAGTATGTTCAGCAAGGCCCTCGATTTAATCCCCAGCAACACACAGACACACACACAAACAAGTTGAGTTTAGAAAAGTCTGAATAAGACAGAGAAGTTAACCTGAGATTGTACATCTTGAGGCAACCACCATCAACATTTGGCCAAACACTCTTTGGCATTAATGTGTACCATACACGTACACCACGTTGTAATAACCGGACCAAGTGTTACAGATCACTTTTACTGAGGACATCTTTCTTTCCTCATCCGTGACTCCACACATCCTCTCTGCCCCTACCTGTCAGTGTAGTCCATGGGACAATCTAAATTCTTCCAGATTCTTCTCTGTCTTTATAGAGGACAGAATCCTATACAGACCCATATATGTATGTTCTTATACATGCCTATATAGAGAAGGAGTCGTGCTTTCAATAAATGGCACCTTCTATACCATGTTTTTGCATTTTCTTCTCTCTCTTCAATGCCTTGTAGGAATCCTCCCAAAACAGGTTTTTTGTTTGTTTGTTTGTTTTTGTTTTTTACGGTGCTAGGGATTGAATCCAGGGCTTCACACATACCAGCGAAGGACTCCACCACTGAGCTATATCCTCACCCCAATACCCTAATTTTCAAAGGTGGGGGGTGATAGTAGGGTGGTTGTGTTGATTGAGATGTGTTTGCAGAAAGCCCAAAAGAATGTCAGGTAAGAATTCCCACTAAAAATATCTAAACTGTCCACCCTACCTGCTCTTCAGGTGTGGGCAGGGAGGGAGGGCCATACACTGTATTAGATTCAGGGGCCCCTGCACATAAGAACTCCTAATGTGGAGGAGGAGGAGGAGGAGAAAAGGGAATCTCCCAGAAACTCCCCTCCAGGTGGGATGTGACTGGACCCACAGGAGGTGTGCTCTGTCCTGCACTGTTGCAGAACACCTACTGTACATCCTGCCCCAGGTCACGCCTAAGCAGAACAGACAGTTTTCAAGCTCTCTGTCCTCAGTTGAGTTGGGTATTGAGACCATCTGTGAGACCACCACGCAACTTGGTACCTACATGTCATGAGGGACAATGTGTCATGAGGTGCAGTGGATCAGGAAAGGGAGAGAGTACTCAGGTGGGGGTGATAGGCAGAGCCTGGGATCCAGAGCGAGAGATCAGAGTAGGACTTTGTACAAGACTTGTGCCTATCACTCAAGTTCCAAGCCTCAGTTTTATGCATATAAAGGGAGGGGCTTGGTGCTGGTGTTCTGTCCCATTTGGGGGAGGAGGTTTACTGGGGATCAAATCCAGGGGCACTTTACCACTAAGTTATATCCCTAGTTCTTTTTTATTTTGAATTTTAGATTTTGAAGCAAGTTCTTACTAAGTTGCTGAGGCTATCCTCAAAATTGCAATCCTCCTGCCTTAGACTCCCAGGGTCTACTCTTTAAGATGCAGTGGATTTATGAAGACCTGCTTCTTCCAGAGGGCTCCCCCAAGGAGAGGAGCCAAGTTGGACTGAGGCAGGGGGACCAGAAATGAAATGGTTACTTTTGTCCTCTTGTCCCTGACTTATATATCCCCTTTGTGTTTCAGCTCCTCAGCCCTGGACCCAGTGGAGAATCTTAGGAACAAGACCAAAGCACACTGCTAGCAACAGATTCTCCATCTTTCTGCCTCCAGTTCTCAAAAAAGAATTTCCAATCCTTTGGGAGAAAGTGACTTTTATCTCAACCTCTGCCTTCCCTGGCCTTTAATCTTAATTTTTGCAATTCCTTCGGTCCGTTTTGGTTACATCCCACACCCTGGTCTTCAGCCCTTTGGCACATTTCCAGCACCTGAACGTTGCGCTCGGAGTTTGGGGTTGAGGGTGTTGAGAGGAGGCAGCATAAGCCGCGGGCTGGGCAACCAGGCCTGGGTGAGGTCACTATGTCCACAAAGGTCCCCATCTATCTGAAGCGTGGCAGTCGCAAGGGCAAGAAGGAGAAGCTGCGGGACCTGCTGTCCTCGGACATGATCAGCCCACCACTAGGGGACTTCCGTCATACCATTCATATTGGCAGTGGAGGTGGCGGGGACATGTTTGGGGACATCTCCTTCCTGCAGGGCAAGTTCCACCTTCTGCCAGGAACTGCAGTTGAGGAGTCGGAGGAGGACGGCAGCTTTGCCCTTCCCTTCCAGTTCACACGCACTGCCACCATGTGTGGCCAGGAGCTCCCCGTGGGCCCATTGCTTCCCATCGAGCCATCGCCTCTGCTCAAGAATGCCATCTCCCTACCTGTCATTGGGGGGCCCCAGGCCCTCACCCTGCCCACAGCCCAGGCCCCACCCAAGCCCCCTCGCCTGCACCTGGAGGTGCAACCTTCCCCACAGGAGGCAGGAAATGTGGGCATCTGGAGGACTCCAGAGGCTGGCTCGCCCCACAACGGGCTGACCCCAGAGTCGGGGGCCGAGGAGCCCTTCCTGTCCCACGGCAGCTCCCTGCTGTCCCTGCACGTGGACCTA